TAAACAAAACTTGACCTGGAATGTAAGAGGGCCATTTTGAATGAGCAGTGAAATTATAAAAAAAAAATATTTTTGGCATCTTTCTTAATAATATGGTTAATCAAATTGCAAACAACTGCACTTTGCTCACTGTTCGCTTGGAACATAGGAATTAGGCCATCTATACACTAGTCTGCCCTCTAGCAGGATGGTGTGTGTATCTTTTGTTTTTAGCCAGAGGGACAAATCTTTTCCCATAAACTGTGTAAAGGCCAAACAAGCAGGTTTAATATAATTACGTCATGAACACACAAGTGTCATATCCAGGTAATAGTATATGCTGTATGTGTTATGAATTATAGCGCCATCTAGTGGCAGTATTGAGATAGGGTCAAGGGTCATTAAAATGGCGGGCTAGTTGTTTACTGCACTATAGTGTATGTGAGTTTCATTGGTTAAATCCAGCTTCATTTAACAAATTCAAATCTAGTATTTCTATGAAAAATACTACCATGGACTACCACTTTCATTGATGACAATAGAGAGAAAATTAATTGGTAATTGACATTTAACTCTTTGAACCCGTAATTTTGATTAAGAAATATACTATCATGCAAACAAACCCAAAATTTGTTATTAAACATTTAATTTTATGATATATGTGTATACATTTTTTACGGTCTGGCTGGTAGGGTTACAACATCACTGATAAAAACAAGTGACCTCGTAATTCAAATAGTTCTATTGTATTGTTTTTAATTTGTGTACTTCCTTCTATGTTGTCAAACACAAGCCCTTAGTTAAAATAGGGAAAAACGTGTTCATAATGAAAGCTAACTTAACTGTGAGCAAAGCTAAAACAGTTGTTCCAGTTGTCTGTACATTCTTGTATATCGAAATGTAGAATAGGGTCAGTAGTCACCCTGTTATTTAGGTCAGTCATGCAAGATATTTGCCATCAAATCATATGTTGGGGTTACACTTATAACAATTACCCATTAGGCCCGTGACAGTTTTATGAAGCCATATAGTTTGTCATTCTTGTACTCTGGCCAATGCAAATACCAATAAAGAAATACGCCTGCATATTCAAACTTTCCTAAGCAACTCAGTATCCGACAGTAGTTGAAACTTATTGTCCAACATGGCTGGAGCACCTGCCACATCGAATTCCTTTCTCGGTGACATTAGTGAAGATTTCCTTAGCTGTTCAATCTGTTTGGAGATCTACAAGAATCCTAAAGTTCTACCATGTCTTCATACATTCTGTCAGCAATGTTTGGTGACTTTTAAGGCTAAATCTGGAGGTGTTTTGAAGTGTGCAACATGCAGAATTCAGTGTGACACTCCCATCCAGGAACTGAAGTCCAACTTTTTCTTATCAAGCCTACTTGACACATACCAGCGACAGAGACAGCTGAGTACTGACCATCCACAAGAGTGTGAGATATGTCAAGAGAAGACAGCAACTCACATGTGTGTAGACTGTCCACAGTTCAATTGCGATGGATGTGTTACTATTCATAAACGCATATTAGCTCTTCGTTCTCATGAAGTGCTTACACTAGAGAAGTACAAAGAGATAGAATCAAAGAGTCATCTAAATGAGCAGTCCAAAGTTTTCTGCAGTGTCCATAAAGACAGCCATTTAGAATTCTACTGTGACACATGCCAGGTACCTGTCTGTTACAAGTGTACTATAGTTAAACACAGAGTTCCTGAACACAGGCAGCGAGACTTACAACAGGTAGTAGATGAGTATAAAACACAACTGAGGAAAATATTAGGACAGTTACAAGTGAAAGAGAAACAAGTGGAAAAACTAAAATCAGCTGCTGAATCTACAAGAGAAGGTATCCTAAATCACTATGAAGCAGAGAAAGTGAAAGTTGCAACAAGAGCAAAAGAAATGATAGAGAGAGTAAAAAGAGAAGAGAAGATGCTGATCGAAACCTTAGACGAAAAAGCCCGGATGGGATTAAAAGATGTGGAAATGAGTATCAATGAGAGAGAATTTCACCATGGCAACATTGTCAGCACACATCATTATCTAGAAACACTGGTGCATCATGGTAATGCTGTTCATCTACTATCTACCAGGACTGAAACTATGAAGCACATGAAAGAGATGGTTGCTATGGAAACCAAATCACTCAATCGTCATGATATCACTGAGTTCCATCCATGGAGAGAACATGCAATGATGGGGGTGATTCAATCAGATGTCTGTCCATCCAAATGTACAGTTGAAAACATTCCGAAACAACTTCTGAAAGGTGTACCCGTCAAGCTGCTCATCAAAACCAGAGATTCCAAAGGAAACCAAGTCATCCCCCGTCAAGATGTCACAGTGAAGACAAAAAATCCTGATGCATCATGGGAAGGCATTGATGTTGAAGACAATAACGATGGGACATTTCATGTGACAATAATGAAAAAGATGGTGGGAATACATCAAGTTGCCATGACAATAGCTAACCAACATATACCAGGATCCCCATTCCATATTCCTGTCATCCAATTGGTGGGAAAAGCAGGAAGTGAGGGTCAGCTTAGCTATCCTTGGGGACTAACCATAAATAAACATGGTGACTTTGTCACAGCTGATAGATGGAACAACAGAGTGACCATTCATGACAGTGATGGTAATTACAGACAATCATTCAGATTTACTGATCAGTTTGCAAAGCGATTCAGTCCATGTGATGTAGCAATATCAGATGATAATGAATACTTTATGTTAGATGATAGTAACAAACAAGTAGTAGTGAGTGATGAAAATGGAAAGTTAATTAGAAAGTTTGGTAGCTCTGAAATTGATAACCCATTTGGAATTGCAATTAATCCTGTTAATAAGAATGTGTATGTGAGTGAGTATGATAAAGATTGTATTAGAAAGTATACCCAGAGTGGCGTGTATATAAAGTCATTTGGAAGAAGTGGAAAAAAACAGAAAGAGTTCCATAGACCAAACATGTTAGCCACGAACAGTAAAGGATTGGTGTATATACCAGATATGAAAAACCACCGTATTCAGGTATTCAATTCTGATGACCAGTTTATGTTTGAATTCTCTTCAACTGGTGGCAGCACAATGAGTCATCCCAGGGCAGTAGCCATAGATAAGAATGATCATGTGTACGTTAGTAGTGAGCATAAAGTAACTAAGCATGACAGCAATGGTGGGTTTATTTGTAGGATTGATAGTGAGAAAGATGGACTGAATAGTCCCCATGGCGTAGCAGTGTGCCATGATGGTAGAATAGCTGTAGTGGACAGGGACAATCAGTGTATCTCAGTGTTAGAAAAGTGAAGCATATAAACGCAATAAAATACAATAAATACAATATAGTAGCAAGACAATAAGTCGGTCCAACCACATCAATTGAAGTATACTAGGAGCTCGGGAGCACACCATATAAATAAACCATACAACCATAGTAAAATAGAATGTGATCGTTTCAAAACTAACATAAACACACTCCCAGGGATGTTTAAAAAACTGATAACAGTTATTAGTAAGTTATTATGCAAATCAGGTAATTAATATGTATATACAGTACTGCAGATATACGTTTTTACATGTAAAAAGCAAACACCGCTTCAATTCATTTCTTTAAACTGCCACAAAGAACATCCAACACTAATTGATTATATTAATTAACTGATTACGATTAATTAACTCATGAAAAGCAGTATGTGCGTACAATATATTTGAAAAAATATAAAATGTTAAATATAAACAAAACATAATGAAAGTACTAGGAGTTAATTAG